AATAATACAGATTTTATTGTACTTCTATTGTTATTGTTCTGTTCTATTGTAGAAAAAAGTCTCTGTGAATAAACACAGTGGCCCTAAAGTTAAGGAACCCACCTCTCATGTATAAGGGAGCGGGTTCGATACCTGGCTTGGGAGACTTTTCCGTACTTATATGTTGGTACTTTCTAAGATTCTTCTGCACAGAATAGAATATAAAGTCATTTTTTGTGGAAAAACAAATAGTATATAGTGCAGACTGTATCATTCATTCATCATCACAAACATAAACTAACCATTAACTTATTTGAACAGATCCCACTAAATAGATGCCCAAACTCAACCTCGGACCTGGGACGTCCCCCTTTATAGGAGATGTAATCAAATGAAACCCGGTATTTCATATGTCATTAAGGACACAACAACCGCGACCACACTGCGATAACCTTCCCTTTGTTTCTACTCATTTAATTTACTCATCTTTTATATAAAGAAATCTAAGCTAACTGCTGGTAAAGGTGCATGTTTTTTCGCGATTGGGTGGGACAAGACATATCTGATAGGGTGTTACTCTTACTGACTAAAAACCAAGCCGATTCTTCTCACAACAGTGCGCTTGCACCCACAAACCCGGTCATCAGCCCTTATAACACTTTTTTTTTATGTAATAGATCGGCAAACGTGCAGACGGATTACCTGATGGTAAGTAATCAGCGCCGCCCATGGACACCCGCAACGTAGGAGTTACGAGTGCGTTGTCGACCTTTTAGGGATTAGGGTTTGGAGATTTAAGGATTGAGGAGGGATTGGGGGTGGAGAAGGATTGGGCCTCCGGTAACCTCACTCACACGGCGAAACACAACGCTGTAGTTGTTTCACGCCGGTTTTCTGTAAGGCCGTGGTATCACTCCGGTCGAGCCGACCCATTCGTGCCGAAGCATGGCGATGCACTGTACGCTCGGGTCTGGTTCTAATTCCTTCTATAACTGTGGCCAGTAATCGTCTCACGATCCCCAACGTCGATCGTTTCATCACGCGCTCTCAAAATGAAGATACAGCTTCCAAGTTCCACACCAGACCCAAAACCCCAGATGTTGCGCTTAGAAAACGCACTCTTAATTAATCACGCAGATATTCATTCGAACACTAATAAACAAACCGACCTCAAAACCATACCTAATTACACAACCAGAGTAATCTCTTTGAACTTCTATCGCAAATAAATCGGTGATACAGTACCCAGTGGTTGCAATACGCGCCTGACCCAGATCCCAATCTTTTAACGACATCTCCTCACATTAAATGCCGGATAAAATATTCCTCCATCCATTACTATGACCATCATTCGGATTCACACTTACATAAAAATGACTTTAAAAAGCGACTGAGTGGATGACATCCTTTCTTATGAGGTTCCGTCTTATGATGTGTACTATATAACCTGGCGAATTTCGCCTGAAAAAGTTTAATAAATTCACTTTCTTTCTTGTCAAACATCTAATGTCACAACAGGAGCGAAAATTTTATTTATAGACAAATTTTCGTATTTTCTCACCCTTTAAACCATCCCTAGATTCCCACAAATATTTCGAAAACAAAATTCACCAAATCGTTCTAGCTGTTTCAGAGTATTAAGCGAGACAAACGAATCACTTATTGTTATTATCGTACTGAGCACGACCACACACAACCATTATAATATTTGTGCGTAACTGAGCTGTTGGGGGTTTGGGGAATTTTCTCAGTAATCAGTCAACCTTTTTTGACAGAACTCTGAAAAAGAGACAGACAGATATCTATATCTATATGAGAGAGTAAGACGTATAGATGTTTATAAAGACCGTTAAACAGGACATTAAGTACTCTTAACGTTATGGGTTTAACAGACGGAGATAAAATATTCTTTTTTTAGGGTTCCATCCCTACTGGTACAGATTGGAATCCTATTACTAAAACTCCGCTGTATGTCCTTCCTCTGTATGAATGGCTCTCCTTACCAGTTAGGGAGCACCATTCACGAGGGTGCTGATCGGAAACCTGGCTAGTACCATTGTGACTTATCCTACCAATAATATTTATGTACTTTTTAAAATTATTCGGACATCACAATTGACATACGGTGAAGAAATCATCGTAAGGATATTTGGACATATAATTTCTAATTATAAGTTTGAAATTGCCAGTCCTCCTCAAGCAAGCTTCTCCGTGTGAGAAGAGGTCTTTGCTCAGCAGTGGCACTGATGATGATGATAAATGTATCTGCTGTCGCTATTCCTAACAATAAATATTGAAAACTAACCAACAAAAATTACAGGTTTCCTTTTTTTATGGAATAGGTTGGCAAACGACCAGACGGATTACCTGACGGTAAGTAATCAGCGCCGCCCATGGACACCCGCAAAGGAGGAGTTACGAGTGCGTTGCCGACCTTTTAGCGATTAGGCTTTTGGAGATTTAGGGATTGGGAGGGATCGGGGAAGGGGAAGGATTGGGCTTCCGGTAACCTCACTCACACGGCGAAACACAACGCTGGTTGTTTCACGTCGGTATTCTGTGAGGCCGTAGTATTACTACGGTCGAGCCGACCCCCATTCTACATTTTTTTGTATGAAAATTTGATTTTGGTCTGAAATATTTGGTTCACTAGTCTGAATCGTACTTGGCCTTTTTTATCCATCGTAATGTTGATTTTGCAAAGAAAGCGAATATGCTGTATCTGATCCCGATGGAATTTCAAATCGTTTCTCATTTTGATCAGCGTTTTTGTTAATGATTTTCCTCGTTCGTTGCTTGGATAAATTTAGTTTGAAATTGTGGATTTTTGGTAGAGTTTTGAGTTTTTCTTGTGTACCAATAGATTTATCTTCTTTCTCACATGGAATTAGGTAACAAGAAAGTGATAGCAAGCAATCCGCGCTGCCCATGAACACCAAAAACAATAAAGAAGTTGCAAGTGCGTTGTCAACCTTTTGGGGGTTAGGGATTTTAGGATTGGGAATTCGGAGATTGTGAATTGTGGTCAGAGGCGGAGGGTGGTTGGAATCTCCAATAAACTAATTCACACCACGAAACTCATTGTAAGGGTTATTTCACTATAGTTTTCTGTGAGGCCGTGATATTATTACAGTCGAGACGGATCATTACTAAACACTATGAGTACCTATTTCCATCAATTAATTAATAATAACAACATACAAGTCTCCAAACGTCCATTCCCGTACACAAGATCGAGCAAGAAACTCCATGGTTATCGAATTGCCCCAAAACATAAAGTTGCCCTAACTTCGGCAAACTCCTGAGTTACGGTCACATTTGCAGTTCTATAGATACAAACAGTTTATATGTAGGTCTCTGTACCTACATCGCATCCCTGTCTTGAGTCTGTCTGTCCATTTGATATAAACATTAAAACATGTATTTTTTTATGTGTTTGGTCGGCAAACAAGCAGACTGATTATCTGATGGTAAGCAATCAGCGCCGCATGAGGACACCCGCAGCCGCACAGTCCGTTGACGACCTTTTGGGGATTAGCGATTGGGGATGGGGAAGGAATGGGCCTTCGGTAACTCACTCACACAACACAATCCTGTTGTTACAAGCCGGTTTCTGTAAGGCCATGATACGACTTCGGTCGAGCCAACCCATTCGTGCCAAAGCGATGCACTCCAACACTTTTGGATTTTTACAGTTTTCGACAAACGACACTAGAAGTAAATCTTGAGAATAGTTCCATGGGGAAAAAAAGGAACGGGAGATTTTTAATAATTAAAGTCTGATACTCCCCTCACGTAATTGGACAATTTTCCACCGCAAAAAGTAGACATGCTACTTTGAAAAATGTTGACATTTAATTTTGACACTTAACACAAATGAAGTCGGAGGCAATACCTAGTGTCAAAATAACATCCACCAAACGTTATGTAAATGTTGAGACCAAGTTTGTGTCGAAACTACAGCGTCGGGATGTATTGGAACATCCAGACGAAACTAGTTACATAGATGTAGTTTCTGGTCCATTAACTAATTGTGGGAAGATGCTGTGAGGACATCATTTTCTTCATTTTACAGGTTAAACAGGTTTCTTTGAGTTTTTGAATAGTAAGTCGTGAAATATACAAAATTTATAGAAAATAGTATAATTTTAAAAAGTGTGGGAGAGCCATGCTTCGGCACGAATGGTTCTGCTCGACCGGAGTGATACCACGGCCTCACAGAAAACCGGCGTGAAACAACCACAGCGTTGTGTTTCGCCGTGTCAATGAGGTTACCGGAGGCACAATCCCTCCCCTACCCCAATCCCTCCTCAATCCCTTAACACATTCAGTTCCCCCGAAATCCCTAATCCCTAAAAGATCGACAACGCACTCGTAACTCCTCCGTTGCGAGTGTCCATTGGCGGCGCTGATTGCTTACCATCAGGTAATCCGTCTGCTCGTTTGCCGACCTATTACATAAAAAAAAAACGACTTAATTAGAAAAACTCGACTAGATTCAAGTCACAACGGGACTCTTATTCATGACCAGCGCCCGCGTCGCGGCAACAATAGTAATTTACGTAGTACTTACGCTATTTTCATTCAATTTAGGTTTCTTTTAAATTTCCATCCAAATTTTATCTGGAAGAATTCATCCTGTTTGATAAGACCTCTTTAGTTGTAAGCCTGCTCTTTGTAGATTTTTTTATATTGTGTAAGTACAATAATGTGCTTGTAAATAAAGAGTCAAGCTTTGGTATCAATGGGCCGGTTTAACCTGAACGATATCACGGCCTCACAGAAAACCGACGCGAAACGCGTGTATGCTTACATTGTGTTTCTCTGAGTCAGGTTATCTCAAATCCCTAACCTACAAAAGACCGTCAACACACTTGTGGCCTGTGCCATTACGTATAAAAGACGGTCAACACACTTTTGACTCTTCGGTCTTCGTCTGTTGTTGTTGTCCATATCCTACGACGATACCTTACCACCAGGTACACAGTAAAGGAGGGGGAAGGATTGCGCCTCCGGTAACCTCACTCGTACAGCGAAACACAACGCTGTAGTTGTTCCACACCGGTTTTCTCTGTGGCCGTGGTATTACTCTGGTCGAGCCAAGTCATTCGTGCCAAAGCATGGCTCTTAAATGAATTGAGTGATGATTATCATTCCAAGCATTTTGAAAAAAAAAGAAAGAATTAAGAATAATTGCAAAAATGACTTTCTTTAAAAAAGAGTGATGGAAGACACCATGTTAACCAATAACTCCTTTCCCTCAATCAGACTCCGCAAGCTAATTTATCACCTCAGTATGATAACAAAAATAACTTTTCTGACCCGGAAACAAAGTTCAAATTCGATTTGGCATTCGTATTTGAGATAGCTCGTCCAGAAAAACAATAATAAAGTAGGTAATATGCTCCGAAGAAACCGTGTCCCAGTTCCCAAACTAAGCAAAGTGATCCATAGCTCATAGAATTTAGTCCGGCCTCTGAGACTGCTAGTCGTGATGGACGAGTATAGTTTCTGTTGTTTAAGCTAAGATATCTGGCAGTAAGCCAGGGTAACACTACATTGAGGAATAGGAGATCATAACATAAAAGTTTTGGAACAGAAATAGAATAAAAAAAGCGACCAAATGACTGCCAGTCTTGCGCACGCAAAATTCCGGACCAAAATCACGTTTGTTGATCATTTCTCACTAGTTCAAACTAATATTATAAATGCGAAAGAAACTCTGTCTTTTCTTCACGCCTAAACTACTGAACCGATTTCTGTGAAATTTGGTACTGATAAAGTTTGTAACTCGAGATAGGACATAGGATAGTTTTTTATACCAAAAATCTGCAGTAAGTCACTATTCCACGCGAACGGACTCGCGCTGGCAAAAGTTAGTGTGTTATAAGTCTTTTTTTATAAGGATACAGCCAGGAGACAGACTGCACGTGAACGCACGGATGAAAAGAACCGCTGTCTTTTCATCCGTGCGTTCACGTGCGTCTTAGTAATTGAGTTTCCATTGCCTGATATGGCAAAACATATTGAAACTGTTAATAATATTGTACCACCTTTATAACATATGTTTTTAACAAATAAAATTATCTTTATCTTTATTCCCCGAATCTCCAAAACCCCTTATCACCAAAAGGCCGCCAACGTAGTTGCAATTTCTCTTCTCTTCTTCTCTAGTCTTGTGGACGTTCATGGGCAGCGTTAAAAGCTTACCATCAGGTAATCGTCGCACGAAAAAAAACAACCTAACAAATGAAAAAATCACCAAATCTACAAAGTCCGTAGCAAAAACGACTAAAACACCAAAATTCGAACGCCAAACATAAGTTTTAACCAAAATTTGTGGAGAGAGAGATTTTTTTATTAGGTTTGCACATATGCAAGCGTCGCTTTGTCGGCATTACCATTTTAATCTAGAATGTTCTACAGAGCGAGTAACTTTTGTTCGTATTATGGATGGGGGGGGGGGGAATAGGACATTATCGTAACGATAAAAATGGTAATACAATCATGTCAATTTTGAAAGCCTTATCGACCCCACTATTATTATTACGGATGATATCAGTTTTACAAAGCTCTTGTTTTGACAATTGAACTACTTAAATAAAATATGACTAATCATTGTTATAGGAAACTATTTCGATTTTACTGTAAAACTTTGTAATCCAACTAATATTATAAATGTGAAAGTATGTGAGACTGCATGGATGTATGTTTGTAATTTGATTTGGTTAAATTTGGTATGTCTAGGTCTCGATCTCCCTCCAGCCCAGGGTCAGGCAGGAGGGAGCTAAAAACCCCGTTCCTGCACCTGCTCTAGGCCGAGGCCGCGGTGCCTCATTGCGCTTACCTCGCAACCCCGATCACTTAGGCTGCTTTCTATCAACATATTACTGAGCGTGAAATTAAATAACTCATTGCTTCTATACGCACGAAAAGCTAAGCAGAGCAGGACAAAAAGGCCAGTAATCATAAATTGAATTGAATTTTTCGATGATCATCAGAAAGAAGTATTCATAAAGCCAGAGACATGCTAGTCAGACAACTATGGCAACAAAGAAAATAAAAGGAAAATCAGATATAATGTGTATATATTTTAATGGATGACTAGCAGACTCAGCCACGCGTTGCTGTAGCTAAGGTCCTTGTCATATTACATATGGACAAATATTTTGCAATAAAATAATATTGTGACTATAAATTGAGATAGAAGCTATCCTATCTTTCAAGTTAGATCAAAATGCACACGGATTGCTAATCAAATTTAAAATCGGTTTAGTAGTTTAGGAGTCCATCGCGGAAAAACACGTGACACGAAATTTTGCAATATAATATAAGAAGAAGAAGATTAAGTTGGATTTCCCCATTATAAACCAACTGCAAATATTACAACAATAAACCCACGACATTTACCTGCTCAATAAAATATACCTAGAGCAATAAATCAAAAAAACAGAGCAATTCATCTTGCATGCCAATTTCGCGGTTACGTTATTCAATTTCCCCCCATTTCAGTCCAAAATTCCCGTGCTTCGCAAAACTGTTAAAATGCAGCGCGCCGTATTAAAATGCAGGCGACGTTCGGCTGACGTCATTACCATATTAATCTGAAATACTTCGTGGAGGGTGAAAATATTCAGCAGAGTCTGATAGCCTCGTGTTTTACAATAGTCAGCTTAAATTGTACCTACTTTAGCTTTAAATCAGTTGATTTTAATTTGAGAATATTTACTATGTTCTAGTCTATAGTCCTTGTATTACGTTAATTTTTATAGCAACGCCGTAAGATGGTAAATCGTATTTATCAATGTATTAACTCCTCCTTATTTGAGCCAAGTATCTTGATAGAGCTAAAGATCTTTAATTAGAAATTGGAGGAACAAATGCATTAAAAACAATATTGTTGTAATCTTCAAAATCAATATCGGTCAAAATGGTTGGAAAACAATCGGTTGGCGCGGTGGCTGGGCAGCTGCCTGCCGTGCAACGTGTCGCGGGTTCGATTCCCGCACGGAACAACTCTGTGTAATCCACAAATTGGTGTTCCGGGTCTGGGTGTGATGTGTATGTTTGTAAACGCACCCACGACACAGGAAAAAATCTTAGTGTGGCAACGTTTAAAAAAAATAACATTAAAACGCTCTCTCCCAATTTAGTAACGACATTTTTATAAAGTAAGGAAACCAATTCGTTTGCTTTTATATTCATAGTGTCCACCTAACCTCGTTGGAAGATCTTTTTCAAAGCGTCACCTTTCAGAAACGTCACTATTCTTCTATTAACTCATTTAAAATGTATTCTTCTTCACTCACCCTGTCAGCGACTCCGCCGGGCAGCACACTCTTGACCACCACGCCGGAGGAGCGGCCGCCCACAATGCCGAACGCCAGCCCCGACCCATCATTGACCAGCTCCACCACTTCCACCTGAGCCCATTCGCCAAACACCTGCTGTTGGATGAATAGAGACATTAGTTCAACGGTAATTAGGTCTAGTATTGTTTAAATAGCTTTTTTCTTGTTTACTACTACAGGCAAGTTATTATTATTTTTGTCTTCAAGTAATAACAGGCGTATTATAACGCTGTCAGTCAATCAGTATCCACTTTCTTATACTTCATATGGAAGTAAACAATCAACAGAACTTAAATTTCTTTTGTCACATTTCTCACATTGTGACTTTAAAATTCTAATAGTGTGAGGGAGCGATACCCACGACCTCACAGATAACCTGTGGCAAGCTTATCCCTAAATCTCTAAGACACATATCCCCAAAAGGTAAACAACGCACTCGTAACACCTCTCTTCTCACTACTTCTCCCTCTCCTCTGTTAGGGGGGTCCATGGGTGGCGCAGAATGCTTATTATCCGATAATTCGTCCACTCTTTAGCCGGCACATCACATAAAACAAAAACAGTCGTGAAATTATTCTCATACGAAATCTTATGTTATTCGAAGCTTACAGATATGTGTATCAGTTTTAAAAGCCTTGGCTGAAAGGAGATGACTTTTGTACAAAGTGTAATGGAAGAAGATATAGATATGGTAATTCGAACATTTAATTTGAGTAAAACTATTTGTTATGTTCCTTAGTGTGTTTTGTGAAAACGTTTTCGTTTTCCAAACACATTCGTGAATATTGTGTTATGAATAGAAATAGGAGATGCAGCATTATTTGGTGGATGGTAGCTGGACCATCCTCCGGGGAAATAACATTCACTCCTTGCTTGGCCGACCGTGTGGAAACACATTATACAGTTACTCATTATTTTCATCTAGGATTTTCTTTTCTAAATATTCCTTTATTTTTTCTTCTAGGTTTTATTTATTAATTACATTTTAATGTTAGGTATGTGTGAGTAATAATAGCTTTATTTACCAGCCAATTTTCTTTAAAGCATTTTTTTACATTTTCACTGGTCTTGTGGCACGTTGTAAATGTAATCACTTTCATCATCCGTATCTATTGCATTCGTTGCATTGTTTATAGAAATAACTAACTTAGGTTAGCCGCAGCCTTGATTTTTCACATCAAATTTTAGGAACAGAAAATATTATAATAAACGTTTGGTTCAACTAAAATATGCCAGAATAAACGTCAATTCATAACCTCTTCGACGTATCCAAGACATCTACTTATAACTTTGACATCTTCCAGCCAGCATCTTCTGACCACTTGAACTTTTTTCAGAGGGAAATTGGGTCAAGGTATCTATGGCGTCCTCAATACTCGTATATTGATGTGACGTCATGGAATATTGGCGCCGCATGACTTTATTAGAGACAATTAATTTAATCTATTTTCATGTTAGCATACATAGATACATACATATATAAAGCCATGCCCTTGTTTCAGAGTTAAAAACTAACTTACGAAATTATATGCCACAGCTAGACTCAAGGAAGGAGTTCCAACGGACTAGTTTTTAAAAAGTTTATTTTTTTTCATTTTCTTGCCTCACCCAGAGCATAAGGAAGAATTCTATGATTTAATATCTAACTATAAAAATAATACACTACCTTAAAGTAATTGACACCATTTCAATACATTTACATGACGATTAAGACTAATATCCTGATATTTATTTCATAATTGTGAAAGATTCATGCTTGACTACATTGACTTAGAAACCCGTGGTTTCTTAAGAGAACTCAACACGTTGTAGAGTTATTGTTTATGTGACAGGTTGGCAAACAAGCAGGAGGATTACCCTATGGTAAGCAATCTGGACCGCCCATGGAGATTTGTTGTACTAAGTTCGAAGAGTTTGTTGTTGGCCTCTTATGGGCTGTTAGGGATTTAAGGATAAAGGATTTGAGGAATGAGGATAGAGGAAGGATTGGGCCTCCAGTAACCTCACTCACACGACGAAACATAATGTAAGTCAGTAAGGGCTCACACTCCGGTCAAGCTGGCCTATTTTACTGAAGCATGGCTCTCCAACACTTAAAGCTTAACCAATGGTACATAATCAATCTAGTTACTTACCATGATGCGCTTAATTCGCCCCTTGCTACGAGGCCGGCGCGGGCGACTTTCCGATCAGCTGACCTTCTCCGCCATAGCGCTGTCTCATTGACAGCTCTGACGGGAACAGCCGAAAGTAACCGAGCGCGCAACCGGAGCCGACACACGTACTGTCGCGTCGCACATTATTTTGTTCTTTCTTCTACTTTATATGGACTGTAGGAGTAGATTCGTTGTTTGAGGACGCTGTAACAAAGAGAAAAATAAGGGTTCTACCACGGTCGCCTCAAGAATAGCGCTCATCATCGCCTATAGCCTAAGTGCCCACAATGCTGAGCAAACGTCTCTTCTCACACGGAAGGTACGAGCGAAAGAAAATTTTGCAAAAATAAAGGGAAAAGTCGAGAAATTTACTATTAATTTGAAATCAAAAATCTAATATTAATATTAACAATAGGAAAATCTCAGAAAACTATTCAAACTCAAGAAAGATGTAGTATGAACGACATTGTATTTTCCCTAAAATACCTGATATATTTATATAGGTATTTATTAGCGCTGTCACCGTTCTAGGGTGATATGAATTTTACCGCGACACGGGAACAAAGATAACTTAGCTAGGCAATTATTTTCACTACTGATACATATCAAAACGGGGCAGATTGCTGACAAAACCTATTAATGTACACATTGTTCATTGTAACACGCGTAATAGGGACACACAGCGTTGGTCGATTGTTTTCCACAAGTAGAATTTCTTGGCTTTACGCTTGGAGTGTTAGACTCATGCTGACTAATATAATCCTGTTCCTTTTCTTACTCCAACCTGGGGCCGCGGTACCTTATTGTGCTTAACCCGAAATCTCGGCTAAATGGTGGTGGTACATTGGCTCTTTGTGCGCGTAACGCGCCGTACGCTCGTCTCTGTTTCTTGTCGGACGGTGAGCTATCTTTGCTCGCCAATAAGTGTCTGGAATTGTGTTTGAACTGGACCTCCAGTAGATTCATTTATACAGTGAAACACAACGCTGTAGTATTCTGACTCCGGTATTCTGTGAAGCCGTGGTATCACTTCGGTCCGACTCATTCTTGCCGAAGCTTGGCTTTCCCATACTTAAATTACTTATGCTTTTGTTTTATTTAGATTACTTATTGCACTTTATGAACTACTAGCTCTTACCCGGGGCGTCGCTCCCGTCATTTGACTACCTTCTCTACTCTACCTACCCTACTTAACATAACCTACTCTACCTAACCTACACTACCTACTCTATCCTATGTCCTTCTCCAGGCTCTAAACTACCTCCCTGCAAATTTTCAGCTAAATCGGTTCTGCCGTTCTTGAGTTATAAGTGGAGTAACTAACACGACTTTCTTTTATATATATATGTATAGAAATAAGTGATACTATTTCAAATTATACTATTTCAATCCAAAAACACAACTAAAGAATTACAACAACCATTTCATTTTACTCCACACTACAGTTTGCTTGGAAAACATCGCATATTTGAGGAATTTACGCAAAACATCACATTTTCCTCGAACTAAATACATATACATACATACATTTGAGTAGTATTCAAGAAAACAGTGGCGAGGCGAGGCGAGACGAAGAAGGCACGTGGCATAACACATACACAACGGAGTTTGTAAACTCAGACGGAAATACGCGGCCGAAATATGAAGGAGCTTGAGTAAGAGTCGGTTTACATTTGGTGAGACGGCCATTATTACAAAAGCTTAAGAAATAAAATAGTAATCAAAGTTATTCGAAGAAAATGATTTATTTGTTGAAATAGCAAATTTTACAAATCAATTCATAATTTAAAATTTGGATTTTTTTTTCAGCTTGGAAAATCATTCGCTATGTAAGCGTGCAGCGAGAGAAGTAATTTTTTTAAGACTCTAAAGCGTCAGACTCTCATTGACTTAAAACCACCCCGTTCCTTCTCCAGGCAGAAGTTGCGGTACCTTGTGCGAAACGCCGGCTAAACATCAGCCCTATTGGGCTCCAACAGTGGCGGCATTTTCTATTCCTCTGACTCTTTAAAGAAGCAACGAAACAAGAGGTCGATTTCAATGTGGAAAGCCAAACCAAGATAAAAAATAACGTGAGTGGCTGTATTCATTATAATAAAATAAAATCATATTCCAAAGCTGTTATTTTTTTGATGTGTAAAAATCATCCTATGCCTTCTCCCGCCCAGGGTGGTCCGACAGGAGGTGTCCGCGGCTGCAATGCAAATACAAAAATTCTCCACTATTTCATGGATGCAATTATACATAAAAGCCTTGCTCTTCAATCACTATCTATGAACAAAACGGCATTCAAATCCGTTGCGTAGTTCTAAAGATTTAAGCACACATAGAGTTATAGGGACAGAGAAAGCGACTTTGTTTTATACTGTGTGATGATACATGTTTTTGACTTTTGACTTTGAAGTCAATTGATGATTTTCCAAGCATAAATAAGACATTCTGTAGATTCCACCGCTAAGAGACAAAACAATGAGCTTATGTATGTATTATCTTTATCATATTTTATCGTTTCGGTAAACCTACCCGACCTAATGTAAGCCAGGCCTAACAGTGTTATGATTTGTTGTGAGAAGTGACGGACGGATAACAAGACGGAATTGGGGCTCGGGTGTTACGGAATTGTTATCGAGATGGTTTGTAATATTTTGTAATTGAGAGTTTGAATAAAAGGCATTATTACTAATGTCATAAGATTTTATTTCACTTGTGATTTATATGTATGTAAGTTTGTGAAGTGGGAATCTTCGAACTAAATTTTGAAGCAGATAGCTTTAACTGATTGGGCTGCTTTATAGACGTTAAATTTGAACGATATTACTCAAAATATTAATCAAATAATTCCCCTACCCTAATCCCCTTAATCTCCTAATCCCCAAAAGGTCGGCAAGACACCCGTAACTCCTTTGATGTTGCGGGTGTCCATGGGCGGCGCTGTTTGCTTACCATCAGGTAATCCGCCCGCTCGTTAGCCGTCTTATTACATAGAAAAGTCTTGCAAGTAAAATTTACAGCAGATAGCTTCAAGCTACTGAACTGAAAAGTTTATACACGTATTCATTACTCTATTCAAACCGTACGTTTAGTATTCATTACTCTATTCAAACCGTGTTTATAAAAATGTCTAGCTAAAGTGTTCTGTACGTTGCCGTTGCTTCCTTTTAAAGCTTTTATTTTTAATTTATTTATAGGTATTTGTTTTCCTACTTAGTCAAATACTGTCGATAATATTTATAACATTGATCTGTAACATCTTGTGGTGTCACTTACTAAATACATTTTATAACGACAGGTATGAAAAATACATATCTAATACTTTGTCATTATTTAACTAACGAACTAATTTAAAGACTGTCTGCTTCTGTTGTGAAAGGAGATATATATTACTTTATTTGAGGATGAGCAATTACGCTATGGTAACAAAACACTAAACGAGTTACAAGCACGGTGTCGGAAAAAAATTACGAGTGCGTTTCCGAACTTTTGGGGATTAGGGATTGGGGGAGGAGATTAGGCCTCCAATAACCCCACGGCGGAACACAACCCTGTGGCTGTTTCACGTTGGTTTTCTGTGAGGCCGTGGTATCACTCCGGTCGAGCCGAACCATTCGTGCCGAAGCATTGCTCTCCCACGCTTAATATATTTCGAAGCTTCCAATCCTCAGTTCAAGCAAAACTTTACACAGTTTAAAAACACTTTAGCATTTCCATGAAGGTTGGATATCAGTTGGAAGTTGTGGCTCGTCACAAAGGTTGAGAGGTCGTTTGTCGCCGGTGGCGCCACCCTGACCCACTTACCGCAGCTCGCCGGCCGGGGATATGTTGGGAACGCTTCCGATAGATAGCTAGAGAAGGGATTCGCTTAGTTGGTGTTTATTGGCTAGTAGGTTTATTGGGAACTAGCTACTCGCCCTGGCTTCACACGGATGCTGATACAAAATTTCTCTACTTTTCTATTCTGTTATAAGTCCTCTTCTTTAATCACTCTATCAAAAAAACAGCATCAAAATCAGTTTCGTAGTTTTAAAGATTTAAGCGTACTTAGGGATATAGGGACAGAAAGCGAATTTATTCTATACTATTTAGTGAAATGTTTAAGTTAAACTGCTTCGTCGATTTAAATTTAGAATGTTTGTGATGAAGTAGTTCTGATCCCAATACCTACTCTTTTTTAATTAAAATTATTTCACATACTCCAGTCACATACGGCGTTTGGAATTATAGAAAGTACATGAAAAAGGTAAAATATGTAATAAGTTTGTAATTACATAGAAAGTTTTGCTTAACGTGACCCGTTTTGGGAATTAAAAGGGGTTCCGTGTTTGGCATCTGGATTCGCAGTAGATCTATAGAGAGAACTCTTTGAGATGCAGATGATGGTCACCCGATCGGTTTTTGTTAGGTAAAAATTCCTCTATCCCTTCGAATACGACCGGAGTGAAACAACTTCAGAGTTTTGATTCGCCGCTCGAAAAATTTTAAAGGAGGACCAATCCTATCCTCCTCCCCTAATCTCTAAATCTCCGAAACCGTAAATCCCAAATCGGGTACACACTCGTCACTCGTCTGGTTTCACGATTGCTTACCATCAGGAAATTCGTCAGCTCTTTTACCGAACTACCACACACAAAAAAATTCCTATACGACTTAAAATGGCGTCTACCTACAAACTCACAAATCAGTCACCTAAAAAGACGTTTACAGCATAAAGTATTCATGTCATCTAGCACAGATCTCTTGTCATAAAGTAACTGGGTGTGTCCAGTCGTTATCGGTCACGTTTCATCGAGAGATTGTCAAGAACGCTGACGTCATGGTTACGTGCCGGACCCGGATCGTTGTGTTTGAAAAGACCAATCTTGTACAATGTTTTATGTTCTTCGCCAGCCAAATGTTAGATTATTATGTATACATTAGGCTTCTCGTGTGTTTTCAAGTAAGTTTCATTGTCGGAGCAAGTGTATTACAGCGGTCTCCTTTGTTAGAACAGATTTTGTCAGTCCATCAAAATAAACTAGCAGACCTGGCAAACGTTGTTCTGCCATATTACATTTAATATTTGCAAATCAAGTATAATTTAAAGCCTATATATTTCTGATAAAGCCGACAATATCACTTAGGAACTTTGTAGCGGTGAAAGAATTTTGGAAATCCGACAAGAGCGGTTCTAAAAGCCCCTAAATTAA